AACCAAATTCACGTTCTATTCGTGTATTCGCATTTACGATTTAGAACAGAAAATTGTGACGGTATTATGCAAATATTACCTTGTATAACATCTTTTTTAAAGAAAATATCTTCTTCAATTAATATTCACCTTCTTTTCAAATATTTAGTAAAATTATTTAAAATTGATAAACATTTCCGAAAATTCCTTTTTATACTCAGGTCCAAATTGGTCCAAAGTTTTAATTGGCTTTTCGATAAATGAAGTCAAAGACTGTCTATCATCCTTGCAAATTTTCTGTTTAAAGTAATAACAATCAAAATGTCAGAATCGTGAAAATTTATCCCGAATTATTGAATTAGTAAGATAAATAACAGTGGGATCCCATCGCGTGGCTATCGATTTTCCGTCGCTGGCACGTTTCGAGCAGCGGCTTCAAGTGCAAGTGCAAGTGCAAGTGCAAGTGTAGAAACTCTTTCGGTCGTTGGCCGCCACTTGAACACGTTTAATCTATCTTCTGCCGCACGAATGAGCTCCTCGTGCTCTCCTATCTATCCGCTCGTCGCCGCGGAGATATGGTCGAGCGGTTCTTGCGGAAAATCTTACGTCTTCGCTAATTTCAAGGCCGATTTACATTTACGATTCGCGAACTAACAGCATTAATTCACACCTCGAGAATCTCTGATGAGTATCTCAAACAGGTTACTGCATCGATTGATTTTCCAGATGGTGTGAAATGTATCGTAAACGTACCTTGAAAGATTTTTGAAAATCATTTTTTCTTCATAAATGCACAGTAACTATCAGACAACCACTAGGACCAAATAAAGATTTCTTAAGATTTCTTTATAAAATTTTCGAGAGCTCCTTTGGTACAAAAATTGAAATTTATTTTAAATAAAATGAAATAACATTTAATTCTAAAGAAGAAGGGCAACAGTAAAAATAATTTCTTTGAATATTTTTTTATATAAATTGAAGGCTTATAATTGAGTCCTTGGAAAATGGACCCAGGATTGTCAAACCTTTGAGGGCTCCCTTGGTCCATAATCTCGATGCAAAAATTGAAATTTGTTCCTAATAAAATTAAATTTTCTGATATTTTAAATTGAAGGCTTATAACGGGACCCCTGAAAAGTAGGCCCGAGACTACGGCCCCCCATTATTAATTGTCTATAAGATAAGATTACATTGAAAGTTCAGACCAAGGAAGAAATTAATTTCCACGATTCTTTCGGAAAGAACGATTCACGAAAGTTCGCTGAACATCCTCCAATTAACAATCGCAAACGATTACCATCAAAGCGGAACCACGAGACGGAAAGCGTTGGAAACTCGCCGACAGGCGTTTCGAATGGCCGGACAAACTTCGTATCGCGATTGCTCAGCCGCGTCAATTGTCGACAATTTGTCGTTTTGCGGCCGCTATTGTACACACTGGCCACACTGTCACGAGCTCTCGTACACACGAGGAAAATCGATTCGTTACGCTGAACGAGCAGATTGAAATCTCGTTTCATTGTGCCTAAGATTTATACTCGTTACAACGACAAAGCTACTAACCCGCTAAACTACGCCCCGAAACGATTCGTCTTCTTCTCTTTGCGTTAAATCGCCGACCAAAAACGTTTTCCGGCGAACGGGTTGCACAATTCAATCGCGCGAACAGAGCACGAGCTAGGGCGGTTCGTAGAACTTGAAACATTAATAGAACTGGAGATGCGTCATTTTTTTTTTTTTTTTATGCTAACGGGCCTCTACCAGAGAATTATTTAGACTGCATGTCAATTGACACCAATTGAGCAGCGTGGAACGACCAACTAGTACCATCTGCCTTTTCATTTGAACGCTCTTTATGTTTGGACCGATAAATAGATGGATTCGTGAAACATTGATTTTCGAAGCGATATTAATAATGTCAAATTAATCGCCGTGGACGTTTAACGCGGATTGATTGCCGCGGTTAAAACGATGATGCGTCGTGTAATATTGGTGGTAATTAATATTGGAAGGATTATTAAGGATCTGGTATTGAAAAAGATTATTTGAAATACTATTTCAAATTAAAATACCGCTCTTGTCAATGTTATAATTTTAACCCTTTCAACCCTGAATTTCTTTGAAACTCAGAAAAATATTCCTCCCGTATAAAATATTATTCATAATTGCTATAAGAACTCCTCTGCAAAATTAAAATGAGTTTCCATCATAAACACAGAAACCACGTCTTAAAATTTCATTTCATAGAGCTTATTACAAAGCTCTAAATATAAAAGTGTCAATTGTCACCAGTAAGGCTAAAAGGGTTAAGTTTATCGTCAAAATATTTAATTATTTTCAAGAAAAATTATTTACTTTTTACTATCCTTATAAAATAGATTATGCCAAGTGTTCATGCGTTAGAACACTGATTCAGATCCACTTAGAAGCATCGATTACGTATCAAGTGGAAGTTAATTTAACACGTTGAACGCCACAGTGAAATTGAGCATTTTTTGTGGGACGTATTAATTTCCAAATAATTAATTTTCAAATTTCAAGCCTTCTATTTGCCATTTCACATTATTTGTACCATAGCAATATTACTTAAAATAATGTTTTTCTATTGTTTTCTTTTAATTATTCAGGCGCGTGTAAATTGCGAAGCCGGTGACCGGTGACCCCCATGGCGTTCAACGTGTTAATATGTATTAGAAACACGAATTTTTGTCCGATGATGTATATAGAATTTGTATAAAAACTCACCACGGTCAAGCTGTCCAATTCGCCGAGCCATTCGTTCAGAAGCTGTTCCGGGTCTGTTTCGTTGTCGCTGTCTTCGCCTTCCTCCTCGTAGCGTTCCATGATGTATGTCCTTAATCCAGCTTACGACCGTGCTCTACGTAATTCTTCCAGCCCTCTGTAAACAAAAACAAACGTGACATGTTAATTAAGCTCGTTACACACGGTATTACAAGAGTTGACTTTCTTAAGAACAAACAGCCGTATTTGTACGATAAAACCTGACAGTTCGAAAAAAATATACCTGAGAACATTTCAGATAGGCGAACGTCTGTGAAAGGAGGTAGGAAAAAGGGCAAAATGTGCTCTTCGAAGAAACAATGTACAGTCCAAGTTCTAAATGGAATTCGAGCCCCTTATTCGCGCCCCTCGAAACGAAAATCCCTTTAACAGGGGTTCTGTAAACGATTCAAAAGTCTTCCCCCGTCGTTTCATCGACACAAATTGCGCCGATGAGCGACAGCAGTCCAAATTCACTGCGTATACCGCCTCGAATCGCGTGCGACTCGCTTCGAAATAGCGTCCTTCTCGTTGGATACATTATGAAACAGGCGTGGAAGAAACAACCGCACGATCCAGACGCGGCAACCCTTCGACCAGACTGACGCTGACATCCAGATCCGGGCACGGCCTTCCACGCACGATTTGCCCGTGACATTATTGCGACGGGGAGCTTTATACGTCCCCCATTTTGGCCGACTCGAGGGCACACGCGACGATTAATCGACGATAATTACGTCTGCGTGCCAAACACCCTGATACCACTACTTATCGGCATTCTCATCGAGAAGATTTAAACCCTCTCCAACGAGATAATATAATAACTTTAGATGGTGCTAAGTTACATTTTCAACTGACAGGAAATTGCAAATCATTCAAATTATTTATAAATAAAATAAATTTTCCAAGAAGAATGGAAACAGTTGCATTATACAGGGTGTCTTGGGTCTGGCAATAAATATTTCTTGTTTAAGCTTTCGTTTTCGAGGAAATTGAATTCGAAAATTCATCGAGTATATGTGTAATAATAAGAAAAGTACTCGATGTTTACCTCACCTATTTTCTCCATTCTACAATATGTTATAGAATACCAAAAACTGTTAGACCCGTATTTTTATATATGTATTAATTCGTTTATTTAAGGATTGAAAACCATCATCAAAGATTAGCTCAAAAAACCGTTCTTTTTACATATCCTGAGAATAGATTGGAATTTTTTTAATGAAGTCAAAGAAATTATTTGTCAAAAATATTATGGGCATTATTTTTATCCTAAGGGGCTGCATCCCCTCCTCCGTATATACAGAAAAATAACATTTTTTAATGTTTTTTTTTATAAACGAAAGCTGAGACTAAAAAATGTATTCTTCTTTTTATTTATAGAATCACCCCCTGACCGGTTGTACTATCCGACCCGAGACAGCCTGTATATAATCGCAAAATTAGCAAGATAAATATTTTTATAGAGCTGCTTTTTCGACGAAAATGAATATTTCAGGATAATGTAACGCCATCAAATCATTTTAACGGTGAAGAAAACGGGAATGAACACGAAATAACGCGGACCTTAATAAAGCCGGAGTTGAATTGTAGCTAAAGAAAGCCGCGGTCGGGACAGAAGAAGTCGCGTCCCACTTTAGGACGAGCTGTGTATGAAATATGAAATACGAACGAGTGGCCAGAAAAAGCCGGTAGTGAAGGCATAAACGCGTGACGCGAACGCACGCCTACCAAAAGCGAGCGCAAACATTGAAAAAACAGGTTGTGGCGCCCAGAAGAGGAGCCTGACGCACTCCTTGTGATCGTTAGTCACGATCTTACGTTAGTGACGCTCGTACGTCGAAAGAAGTCTTAAAAAAAAGTTTTCTTGAACGTTGGCCAACTGGTTCATTGCCGAACTTTGCTAATCCGACAACGTGTCCCCGTCCACTGAGAATTCGTGTTTCTCCATCTTGAATGCCTGCTCGTTAACCCTTTCGCTACACCAGAAACTGGCTACACACCGTCAAGAACCCGTGTTTTGTATTTAATTTTCAAAGTGGACAAGTAAATAAAATGATAATCTTGTTTAATTTGAAAGAGAAAAATTTGTATTCTAATTTGCATTTTAAAAATCTGTAATCTAATTTGCATTTAAAAAATCTGTATTTTAATTACTGAATGGCTAAAAATACCATTTCCGTCACTGGCAGCCAATTTATAAATTATTTTTCTTTTTGATACGAAGAATCGATTCACAGCTGCCTACGAGTTTAGAATGATTTCGAGCTAGTGTTCAAAGAAAATAACAAGAAACAGAGGGTAAAGAGAAACCGAAAAACCGCTGTCGCTGGTGGTTAGCAGTGAGAAAACTGGTACAAAAGGGTTCGCTGCGTAGTAAAGCTGGGTTTTTCAACGAATTTTCAAGCTACCATTACACGTAAGGTAACGCGTACTGTGAGAAGCAACGAAAGAGAAACAGGACGGTGCGGTGTTCGTGTCTCGCGAGTTTGCGGTTCGCGCGTGATAATAAACATTCACCGGAAGCAGCGGGGAAAATGCCAACAGCGAAAAACTTTCTTCTACGGAGGATCAAAGTGCGATCTCGGGGGTGGGAGGGAAAGCTCAAAGGGACCTCGGCGACACGCTCGTGGAAACGTGAAACCACGGCCGACTTCCACCATTTTGTTAAGAAATAATTGTACAAAATGCGTAGCTTTCACCGTGGTAATTTCCATTTAATATTCGAAGCTAGTTGAAGATATTAAAGATAGTAAAAATGTTAAAATAACTCCCAAGTCATTTATGAAAATTTCACTTGTTTTCAAGTTAAAAATGTAGTATTTCAAAATTAATTTTTCTGTTTCATCAAATATTAGGTGTACAAATTAATTCCACCCCTCCAGTATTACACTTTTTTAATTAATATTTCAAATTTGAATATTTTCCCACGCTTCTGTATGTTTAAAAAGTGACGCGAGAATATAATAATTAATTGACCATGATTTTTTAAAAATAAGTCTAAATTAAAAGAATTAATTTGTACACTTAACAATTCATAGTCTTTTTTTTAAATATGTGTTATTAATATAGGATTAATAAATTAATTCTACTAATGGATTAATAAAAACTATGTACAGACAAGAAAAAGAATTCAATTGACAACATCGACCTCGTCGAGACTGACATCCAACTAACATCTGTCATCTGAATACATCATCAGGTATATAACTGTACAATTTTTAAATGCACCAACAAGGTCAACGAGTCATCGTCATAGTAATCAATTTCCTTATGTTCAAGAGTGACATGTCCAATGCAAATCGTGTCATCCAGCGGTTTCCTCTATGTCAAAGGTCATCGCATCGTTCCTGCTATAATGAATTAACCTTTAACATCCAAGCGGTACCACTACCCTCGGACACGTTTCCTTTTCCTCAGCAGGCAATTTGATAAAACGATCGAGTCTCAATGCGGCATTAATCGTAAAAGGAAATTAGTTTGCAGCTATTTTAAAAAGTAAACCGCAAGTTTCTCATAGCACGTGCCGCGTGAGAAATGTAGAAGGTAACGTAAGGGTTTGTTTTTCGCCGTTCTTCAACCTGTAAACGACCACTTCAGACATCGATCGGAGCTACGACTCGCGTCGTTAGCCACAAAGTGACAGCGTGTGACGAGCAACTTGCCACTCGAAACTGCTGCAAGCATGTTTAATCCTTAATTGGTGACGCGCGTTATTCCGGAGAACGCTCGAGAGCTTGGATTTTCGTAAACACTCGGCTACGAACAGTTTTGGTTATTAAATTCCGTGAGATTTAATTAAAATCCCGTTTCAGGTAAATGCACAGTGCCGCTGTGACAAGGAACGAATAATAATATTTCCAGCGAAATTGTTTCGTTCAAATTAGAATAGGAATAATTTTTCTATTCTGTTTTATTGTTGCAATATGTTCTTCTTTTATCGAAATTCCTTTTTCCTTGAGAATGCAGTTTCGAATAAAAATACAAAGAAATTTTCAATACAAGGCACAAGTATCAGCGGGTAGGTAATGTTGGAATGCATTCAATTGTCTGATTAATGTTTCAGGACCATTATTTCCCGATTCTACGTCCTGATTTCTAGTTTTCCTTCTTCGAGCAATCTCGCTGCACAGCCTCCAAGATTCGAGGACAGATGCTGCGGAAGATTAATAATAGAAACCTTCTCAGTCAGGATCTTGGAATGTCTTCGTGAATGCATCTTAAGGCGAATTGCATGAACGTTTGTCGTTCCACGGATTTTAGCTCCGCGAATTCGGATCAACCGC